AAATCTAATTCTGAATCATTTGGATTCTAAACCAAATTTATGTATACACTGTCCAAACTCATATTTACAGATGAGTTTAGTTCCTCAAAAGAGCATTAACTTGACATTTATTAAAAATAAAATGGATATTATATTCTTATTTAATTAGATTAGAAACAAAAGAAAGACAAAACAAATATCTTAATTTTCATGTTTTCTTTAATATATGCATTTAAATATTTAAGTAATTACATATATAAATATTTAAATAATTATTGTTATTTCTATATTAAATAGAAATATATATTGAAATATAATATATGGTTATATATATATGCTATTAATAATAAATTAATAGATTCTCTTAATATTATTTATTTCTCATATAATAATTATAATTATTCATTCCTAATATTTTCTCACCTACAATTCTTTTGTAACATAATCCCATGTTACTAAATAATCACCATTATCACATAAAGCACCAAAAATATAATTTGTCTAAAATTCAATACATTATTCAACTATTAATTAACCACTATTAAGAACTCTTATGATATTAATACATTATCCACTTTTATTAATGATTAATTATTTTTATTTAATGTATTATTAAGGGAAAAAACAATTTTGATCAAAACCTTTTTTAATTTTGATACCTTAAGTTTTAGTGTATAATTAACTTTAAATATCTATTAAATAAACTTCCATTACATCTTAATTAATCGGTTGAAAAGTAAATTGATTATCATTAATGAAACCTAAACGATATCCTCCACTATTTGTTAAGATCTTTTGAACTAAACTCCAATATTTATTCTATTATGAATATTCAAAGATCAAAATAAAATGATCAAATCCACATGATATTAATTTATTTTGAGAATCATTTAAACTTAAACCATAAACTGAAAAAGTGTGATCTTAAATAGATTAAGAGATTTCCCATTATTGATCATTTTTCCAAATTATAATTTACTTATCATCTCCGCTTGAGAATATAGTGTTTTCATCTTAATTTACTAATAAACAATTGATTTAATAAAAATGACCTTTTAATTATTATTAACAAAACCAAAAATTATTTAAATTGTATTACCAAATTAAGATACTTGAATCTGCACTAGCTGATATAAATGAATTATTGATATTCATAAATTATAAAACAGTCACACAACCAGAATGTCCATATAAGACTTACTGTTATTTCCGAATATAATCTTCAAATACATATACATTAATCTATTCATTACAACCTGTTAACATAATTGAACAGTCTTTATTAAAAGTAATTGCATGACACCAATTTGAATATTTTATTGATTTATCGCTTTATAATTCATAAGGTAAGTTATTTTATGAATAATTATAAGTAAGATTAATTACTAATGATGGATTATTTGTTTCTATAATATTTTAATAACTTTCATTATCAATATCATCTTAACAAAGTTAAGTGCTCTTTAATTTTTCCAATTCATCAATTCTAAAAGGATTTTATGAGAAATTGATCTTCTTTAATAATATTATTTCACATTCTTATAGATACAATAAAGTATCTTTAACAGATTTATTGATAAATTTATTCTGCTATTAGAATTATTTAATCAAAGGATCTTAAGTTAATTTACTTTTATTTGGTTTACTTAAATTTTCTGCAATTTCACAAATTTATTCTTTAGAAAGATGACTCCAATTTTATTACAATTTATAATTATAATCTCTTACTTCATTTATATATTCATTAAAATTTTCTTTTATTTTACTTTTAAGATCTTCAATAATTTTTATGTAATTCTATTTTATCTAATCAAAACAATCTATAATATTATCTACTTTCTACAATAATATTTTAGAATTATTATTCATATTTTCTTATTTTTCTGTTTAAACTTGCTTCCATTTTGCTTAAACAAATTTTATTGATTTATATTGAGTTGATGGAAATTCATCAACACATTAAACACAAGCAATACGTTTCTTTAAAGATCTTACTTCATTTAAATCAAATAATATTATCTTTTCCTTTTAATGATACTCACACTCTATTTATAAATCCTATTATAATAATTAAGATCTTTACATTATCATCATCATTAACTTAAAACTCATTCTTTATTGATTCCAAATTTTACAGACTTTAAATACAATTTATAATTAAATTGTTTTGTATTAATGCTTCCAATTTATTCTTTAAATCTAATTTAAATTCTTCATTATATGATAATTTCTAACTACCCAATTCTTAAGCAAATTTAAAAAATTCATCAATATCAATTAATTAATTTGTGTCTATCTTTTCATTAAATTCCTCTTCTTAATTTTAAATCATTTATACCCATTTTTCTAATGTACATGATATTTTTTCAAATTATTAAATGTAAGAATTCTTAAGATTTTATACTTTATCCATTAATTCATTTATTATTTAAACATTTCTTTCTTTTTAATTATTTCTTTCTTATTTCAAATTAGATGTTATCTCTCTAATCTACTCTAAAGATTCAGTGATCAAAATGACTTTTTGTTTTGAAGTCTCAGCTAAGCATTTTATACATAATTATTTGTTATCAAATTCTTATTTATTCTAATTCAAAGCTATAAATTCTAATCCTTTATGTACTAAACAACTTTAATGCTTGTAATTTTTATTCATAATTAAATTAAAAAAAGTTCTATTAGAAATATAAAGTATTTTTCATATTTAATTATTTGATAGTTTAATTATTAAAAAAATAATAGATTGATAATTAAAAGTTTGGAGTATATGTTTAGTATAAGTTTTTATTTTAGATATTTTTATAAATAAAAACTATGTATAAACAAAAATAAAAATATATTGTGAACTTGATTTTTCTTTTAAAATATTATATAATTTATATTCTATATATAATGACCAGATTAAAATTTATTTCAAAATCAAACTCAATGTGGTATTATTTTAAGGTATTCCATTTTCATTTGGTTTTTACACCTACTATAATATTTTCATAAACACACACTCACTTATAAAATTGGTAAGAGGATTGTTAATTATTAGTATACTAAAATATAAAGAAGTATTGACTCTTTCTTTTGCAATATTTATAATAATTGCATAAGAATTTCTATTTAATTTATTTAGATTTAAATTAAGTACCCTATTTTTGATAAAATTGATTTATCAATATTTATTATTCAACCTTACTAAACTCTAGATTTATTTAACCTTAGAAATCATTATTTATATATTACAATATTTTTTAATACTTAATATTATTTTATATTATTTTCATAAAATGAATTTTATGATGTGTAAATATCATCCTGAAAATCAGGTAATATTTTTACTTTGGAATGATTCTATGTTATAATTTGCTTGTGAAGAATGCTCTGAAAATTAGAAAAAATAAGAAAATAAATAAATTTTAAAGTAGTTATCTATAAGAAAAGCTTTAAAGGAACCAGATTATTTTTTAGGAGAATTCAATTTAAATAAAGAAAACAGATAATTAATTAAATAAATAGAAAATTTACCTATTTAAAAATTGAATTCATTAATGTAAACTATTGATACATGTGTTAAAGAAATTCAAATTAGTTTGAGTGATTTAATTAATAAAATTAAGGAAAACATTTTAAATATAATTTAAAGAAAAGAGAAGTTAAGAAATAATTTGGAAAAGGTGAATATTAATATAATTATATAGATTTCATTTTATGCTTAATTTACAGTTGTATTTTAAGGCTTAAATAGCCAGAAATGTTTAACTGATGATGTACTCAATTAAATTGAAGATACTATCAGATAACTATTTTTCGAGATTGATAAAAATTAAAATTCTTTTAATCAAGAGGTATAAAAATAATTGTTACTACCTAAAATTGAGAAAATAAATGATTCAAAATAATACTAAATATTTATTAAGAAGCTATAAAACTTTAAAGATAGTATTTCTCCTTTTCTAATTTAAAATACTTAAGATCTAATTTAGTATTAACAAAATTATAACAAGGATTTAAAATTTTCTAACATCCATAAATAATCACAAATTTAAGTATCTTTAGAAGGAAAGATGGCTTATGCAGCAGAAGATGTTTGGTAAGTTGTTTTATGTGAATAACCAATCCCTCAAAATAGAAAAATTTCTTTTTATTTCAATATTCTGCAATTACATCAATTTTATTGTGGAATCTGTTTCAAAAATCTTATTTCTAAAGATTATAGAGGATATGTTTCTAATATAGGGCATGGGTATTTTATTTTCTTTAATATAGTTATTACTTAATGTGTAGATATGGAAATATATATTCGCATCATGATAATAAAATAAATGGATAATAAAAAGGATTTCCATCTTATAACGGGGATACTATTGAAATAATAGTTGATATGATAGAAAAAACTATTACATGGACAAATAATAGATCAAAACAATCTTTTGTAACTTATACATAATTATTTTTAGAAATTAACAATTCAAACAATTGATACATTATATCCATGTCTAAGAATTGCTAAATCAAAAGTTTAGATACTTTAATGTTGATTCTTATTTATATAAACATTACCAAATCTTATTTGTGTTCTCTTTCAATTAGTAACTGTTATTTTTTTTATATACATAATAAAATAAGTAGTTGTATAATAAATAATTAAAATTATATTTATATAAATTATTTTTATAATTTTTGATGAATTATTTTAAGAAAATTCCTTTTTAAATAATTATTAAGATCTATTAAATAATATAAACTTAATTTATGATATAAAAAATAGTTTGTTTCTAATTTTTAAAAATATTAAAGAAAGTTCAAAAATTTAGATCATCCAATAACATAAAGAAAATTGAAAACAGTACACAATATTCTAATTTGTATTTTATGTTTTGGTTTAATGATTTTTAAAAAAGAATGAAGTAATTTTTTCAAATGACATTCAAATAGTTTCGAAATTTTATTCTAAAAATTATGAAAAAATTATTAAGTTAATTTATTGAGTAAGAAAATTAATGAATGATTAAATTATCAGGTAAATTAAAATGCTTTGGATCATTTTTCTATTTAATATTACATTTGAGCAAAGTCTTTTCTATTCCGCCTATGAAGACTCTACATTGACAATTTAAGATAGTAATAATACATTTAAATTAGATTGGTAATTTTTTGGAAATACTACTACCGATATAATTTCAACTTGTGGATCTTCTAGTATTATAGGAGGATACAATTTATTCTCTAATGGAGTTGCAGCTACACTTTTTATTGATCTACAACCTCATTATAAAATGAAAATTTCATTCTCATTATTTATGTATATTCTACTCTTAGTAATAGTATAGATACATGGGATAATGAATATTTTTATTTATATGCAGATTAAGATCTAGTCTTTACTTAAAAATATAGTAATATAAATGGATAAGGTGAAATATGTGGATAACCAGGGTCTAATAGAAAGGACTAGATCCATCAAATTGAAATTGAATTTGATCACACAGGATTGACTAGTTTTATCTAATTAACATCAAATTTAAATGATAGTGCTGATGATGTAAAGTATATGTTTTATTTAAGGAATCATGGGGTTTTAGGAATTTCAGAATTTACATTTTTGAATGTCCACCTTAATGTTATGTTTGTTCAAAAGTTGATTAGTAACTTTAGTGCGAAAAATGGATTAGAGCTTATTCAATATTTACATAATTATTAGAAAATGAATTCTAAGAAAATACTCTAATTTCAGTTATTAATGGAGAAACAACTAAATAATTATGTTCTTGTAAAATTTTATATCAATATAGAAATTCCAATTATGTGTGGTTATGGTGTTTGTGGGAGGGATACTATAATATAAATGAATAATTTATAGCTTCCATTTCATACAAGAATTAAAATTAAACTTAAGTATTTGATAATAGATAGTTGGGAATCCACTGATTATGCTAAAATTCTAGTCGATGGAGTTCTTCGATGGACTTCTGAATTATCATTAACTAATTAAAATCTATATAGAGTTTGTGGAGGAGGTTCTAAAGGTATTTTTGTAAATTTGGAACTTACATTCCCTCACATATAAACTAGTACAACAATTCAAATTTTAAATACATTGAATTAGGATTTTTTAGATGAATCTTTTGGTTTAAGAGATTTAACAATTTATACTTGTAATATTTTAATAATTTAAGTAGAATAATCAAATTGTGGGGATTAAATCATATAGGAAAATGAAGAATGTGATGATGGTAATTTGGTTCCGTTTGATGGTTGTTTTAGTTGTTTATATTCTTGTGTTGATGGATGTGAGATATGTGAGAAAGGTAATTGCTTACGTTGTGGTTAAGGTTGGATTCTTTAGAGATAAATATAAAAATGTTAAAGAATTGATATTTAGTCTAAAGTTAAAGAAGATAAATGTACTGATTAATAAAATGATATTGAAATGAATTAAATTAGGAGAGACTGTGAAATAATGGATTATTCAAGTTTAGTTGTATTTGAAGAAGAAATATTAAATAAATGTTAACCATAATGTAAGATTTGTATTTAAAGTGTTTGTTATTAATGTTAAGTAGGATAGAATTTAATATTGGGATAATGTTATGAACTATTAAAAAATTCTATTTCATTAGAAGATTTATAAAAATAAGAATTTATATGTGATTTTAATTGTAAAGATTGTAGAAATGGTATATGTTATGAATGTTACGAAACATTTTTAATATTAGATAATAAATGTGTAGGTATTTGTGGAGATTAAATTATTCAATTAAATGAAGAATGTGATGATGGTAATAATGTAGAATTTGATGGTTGTTATTATTGTAGATATTCATGTTCTTAAGATTGTAGTTTTTGTTAAAACGGAATTTGTATAGATAAATGTTAATAAGGCTATTATTTTATTGATAATTCTTGTTAAACTATATGTGGAGATTCTATCTTAGTTGGATTTGAATAATGTGAAGATGAAAATAATATTTAATATGATGGATGTTATCAATGTAGATATTCTTGTCCTTTATTTTGTAATGATTGTTTAAATGGATAATGTTATAATTGTGATTAAGGTTTTATTCTCTCTTAAAATATTTGTATAGATGTTTGTGGTGATGGATTACTTTCCATTTAAGAGGAATGTGATGATGGTAATCAAATTAATGGTGATGGTTGTTCAAAAAAATGTTAATTAGAAACTAATTGGATTTGTAATAAAAATGGAGATTGTGCATATGTTGAGTATCCTATTCCCATTATTGAATATTATAAATAAGAAAATTAATTTTAATATGTCAAAATGACATTCAGTTAATTAGTTTAATAGAATTTAAATTTGCAATATAAGGATACAATCTAATTAAGAATTCTTGATTTGAATTAAAATCTTTTTAATATTATTATTTTAGAAACTCAACCTGCATAATTTCAGATTTTATAGAGAGTAGAATATATATTCTAAATTGAAATTCTGTCTAATCAATAAAATCATCCAATATTAGAGGTGCTATTAACTGAATAACTATATAATGAGAATCTAGCACCATTACTTTATTTAAAAGATAATTTTTAATTGAATTAACCTAATCATATCAGTGAAGAAGAAATAATGACATCAAAAACATTTTAAAACATTAATGAATATTCAGTTAATTCATTATTTGCAATTTAAGGAATCTTATTTCTTCTATTAGGCAATTTTTTTTCTTTTTGGGTTATTTTGGATGCTCTTTAGTAACAATCTTATCTTAAATATATCAATGTATAATATCCTTAAACATTAATAATCTACTTTCAATCAAGTGATGCTGTATCAATGTAATCAATTTTGAACAAACTTCCAACATTTAAATATGATTCAACTTTACTAAAATTTCCTTTTTAAAAGTCTTATGGAAAATTTGAGTATTACAATATTAATGCTAATATTATGGAAGGCTTAATTATAGAAGTATTAATCTTTGGTTCATTACTTATTGGTTACTTAAGTACTTTATTTACTATTTACATACTAAAATATCTTGAAATAAATTTATTTCTTTAATAATGGCCCCAATTTATTTTATTTATATAAAAATTAAAAAGGAAACTGCATTCTAAATTGAAACTATTTGATGTAAACTCAATTAAAAGAACTCTATTAGCTTGTAGTTGGGATCTTATTTTTATAGCTTTTTTAGAGTTACAAGTCTAACATGATTTTAAATCATCAAGAGCATATATTCGTTTAACAATTGCTTTTGTAATATTAATGATAATAATTATGGTTATCTTATAAGAAATACATGGACTTCGATCTTGGTAAAAGTAAAATTTTATTTAATTTTGGGAGTAACAAAAGGAAATGTTTAATCTTATCAAGAAAATTCTTAGCCTTTATATAATAATTTATAATTAAGAAAATTAAATACTTTAAACTTTAATATTAACTTTGATTAACACATTCTACTTGTTCTTTATTATATATTGTTTATCAAAAAATGGATTTTAAGAATATATCAAAAATATTATAACAGAAATTTCACTTATTATTTTTACAGCTTCAACTTTTTTGAATTGGAATATTGTATCTAGTTACTTTTCTTATTAATAAAGAATTACAATTAGTTGGATTTAGATGTCAGTTTTAGTAAGTGTACTTATTATATTTGTATTTATTGAGATCTATAATCTAATATTAATAATAATATAAAAAGTTAATAAAATCATTTCTTTCAATAGAAATCAGTCTAACTAAAGTAAACTAAATGAATTGTAAAATTTAAATTAAGTCAAAATGAATCCCATTTAAAAATAATCCAATATAAATAAAGTGTAAAATTAATAACAACCAATCATCAATTAGAGAATTTTTATTGTCTGTTAATGATATTTGAATTTAATTTGAACAATAATTTAAAATATTTTATTATTTTGTTTCTATTTATACTTATCATGTATTTGACTTTGCATAAGCATATTATATAATGGTTTTTTTTATAAAATGTATGAAATTTTTAAACTTCTTTACCATTATAAAATTTTATTTCAAATTAAAACAATAAATATATATATAATTTAATTGAATCATCAATAATTATAAAAAAATATTATAACAAGAAAGAATAAAAAATAATATTAATGAATACTCTAATATATTATGTATCAGCAGCATCCTGAAGATTACTTATTCTTTTACTTTTAATCTAAAACACTTTCTGTATTTGCAGATAGCTATTTACTTTAGAGACCCTTGTTTTCTTGTTAATTATAGCAATTTTTCATTAATTCAACTGCCATGAAATCAAAACATTCTATAATATTCTCACTTGTATATGCAGATACAATAAAGTAATTAGCATTAATTTACTTTGCTAATTCTTTTATTTCTTCCTCTGTTACTGCTAATTTATCAGTTAAATCGCATTTATTTGCTAAAATTACCTTTTTAACATCATCTCCTCCATGATTTCTTAATTATTTAGCCCAAAATTTGATATTATCAAATGATTGATGTTCCGTCATATCGAAAACAAGAAATGCTCCTTTTGTTTCTCTATAAAATTATATTGTTATAGTTCTATATTTTTCTTGTCCTGCCTAAATTTATTAAAATTTAATTACAGTGTCCCATAATTTTAAAGTTATTTCTTTTTCATTAATTTTTAATTTTAAAGTATTCATTTATCCTAATTCTGTATGGGTAGTATGAAATGAAAACTTTTCATAAATTCGTTTATTTAATATAGATGTTTTGCCAACACCAGAATCTCCAATTAAAACTACTTTGCATAATAATTATGGAGAATCCATGTAATTAATAATAAATATTTATTATATAAAATAAATTATTATCTAGTTTCAACCCACTGATACTTAGTCGATATGAATATTGGAATGCTCTTAGTCCTAACTTTTTGATGATTTGATTTCTTACGGAATATTTGGTTATAAATTCTATCCTTCATCTCCTTAATTCATTCTCTATGAAGGCTAAACAGCTAATCCATTCAACGATTATCTCACTTTCCCCCAGAAACGATTTTATGGTTATAAATGATCAGGTAATTCTGTTCTTTCAACTAAAGGAGGTTCTTTAAAATCAATTTGTCTAACTATTAATTATTTCCAACTTTCTCTTGGATCAACAACAGGATCTATTAATTTTTTTTTTTCTGGTTTTTTAAATATATTTGGTAATTGCTAATAAGGAACTTTTTGTTTCAAATTAGATAGCATTATTTCATAATTAACATATCGATAATCTCTATCCTTTGCAAACTAATAATAATCGAAATATTCTAAAGTTTCTTAAAAAAATTCAAATAAAAACAAGGCTGGTCTATAATTACCGTGAACTATTGCATAATCTAATGCAGTATATCCTTCATTTGATTTTATTGTAATCTTAGCACCATATTCAACTAAATTTGATACTAAATAGGCATTATCTCTTCTGCAGGCCCACATTAATGGAGTTATACTTGAAGACCCACCATTATCAACATCAGCCCCATTCTATTATATTAATAAACTATTACTTTAATCAATATATCAACTAAATAGATATCATTTCTCCAAACTGCTCTAGCTAAAGGTGTAGATTAAATTTCTTAACTCAAATCTTCCTACAGTATTTGTGGATATTTCTAATCAAGACATTTAATACTTCAATTATTTCTACAATTTTATCATATCGTTGTTTTTCTATTGAACTTAGCATAATTTTATTTACATTAGTGTTTCCCATTAATATTAATATTAAATTTGTAAATGTTATATGTATAAATTTATATCTAGCTTTTAAATTTGTTTATAAATTATTATTCATGCTCAAATACAATGTCTATTATTTAAACCTTTAAAGAAATTAAAACTATCTATGCAAAATACTTTTGAATTTTATTGTATTAATTATTTTTCTAATCTAGTTATAATCAATTTTTAGATAACCATGAACTTCATATTGAATCAAATAAATATTAGAGTTATTATTGATTATTTTAAATAACATAATTAATTAAATTTCATAATATTATAGTTTAGCATGCTCAATTACAACATTAGAATAATTTAAAAGCAATATATAAAGGTCGCAAGTATCAAGTATGTTGGAACGATGAATTCTTGTAAGGAAACAAATGATATATAATCTAAAAATTAAAGTGTTAGTATCTTATTTAGAATTATTTAAACTGGATAGATATAGCAACTAGAAATGATAATCTTTTTAAATAGTCTAATAGTATTTGCTTAATATTATACTTTCAATATCTAAAGATAATGTTTAATTTATTTGTTTATTATATTTATCAAGTTGCTATTCTGTTTTAAAAAAATCTTATAATGATTTAGCATAATATTTATGGATGTCATCTAGTAAATTAATTTAAATGATTTTTTAATTAATTTTGCTATATTTAAGTAGCATTGATGAATCATAAATAAGAATCAGAAGTAATTATTTTGCTCTTTCTGGAATTAATTCTAACAATTTTTGGGTTTTTAACTTAAGATGATAATCTTTACAAAGGAGTAATATAAATAAATGGAGAATTTTACATATTACGATTTCAAAATTTTTTTTATCTATTTTTATTTTTTTAGTAGATTATTTCTATAATTGATGTTAATTTGTTTAACTTAAATAATTAGTTCATATATAAATAAACTTATATGATTTTGGAATGATTAGTAGTTTAGAAGAAGGTGAGTCATTCTTTACACTTTTGAATACTAAAAGTTTCCAATTAACAGATTTTATCATAGGTCCTAATTTTATAATCCAATTATTTAAATCTTATATGTAAATAGTACATATTTACTTTTTTTTTGCTCTATAAAACATCCATTAAAGTTACAAGTTATCAATAACTGCAATCTGGAACATTTGTATTTTTTTACTTTTTGAAAAATATTGTAATTGTTTAAGAATCCTTTAATAATTATAATATAGTTTCAACTTACCTTATCAATATAAACAATAGATTTTTATCTATTAGGTTCTCAAAATTTAAATTAGAAACTATGGTCTTGCTAATTAAACTGAATATATTGGTTGTCTCTAAGTTACATTAAGAAAGTGTGCCATAGAAGTAAAACATTTTTAGGTACCAATTAAATACAATAATGCCAAAAATGAATGATGCAGCATTTTCATAATTATTGTACCCTAATTGGGCTACATTAAATTTGAAGAAGTGAACATGCATCAAAACTGCATAAAATATTAATGTTCTTATGGAGTTTCATTTGTCCAACAGTTATTATTTGTAACCAACTATATTAATGAAATTACTATTTTAAATCAGTGCTGATATTTTAATAGATGTCTTGTTTGATACTAATATAGATGCTTAACTAATAGCTACAGATATTATAACAATAATCATTATTTACCATTTCAAATTAAAGTTTCAATGAGATTTATATAAGTCAATTGATTTCTCCCATTATTTTTTATAGACGATTTAATTGACTCGATTATTCTAGCGTTTCATGGGGAATAATCCTATGAATTTGATGATTCTATTCCATACCCCATTCAAAATTGTACCGATGATGCAACGATATTTTAAGTAATGGAATTTATAGCTTTTAGGTTTTTTCTATTTCCCTCAATAAATAAACATTTTCCTCTAAAAAATAATGAAGCTAGTTATTTTGATGTTAATTTGGGCAATTTCAAATTTATCAAAATCAAAAATAATAAGTACTAATACATAAACTAATTTTTCCCTAATATTTTTTAATTATCAATAATACTTTTTACCCTAATGTTATCGATCTGGAACTTTATATACGCTTTGAGGAATTGTAAATTTATTATAAATAAGAGTGTCAATATCATTTAATTGAGCGCTATTTAAAATAAGAATAAGGCTATTAAATATCAATATTAGGATATCAAAATAATATCTAGAACCCTTTTTTATGGAAACATTTAGTATTATACAGCAAATTGTGATGCATGGAAATCCTTCAATATTACTTAACCTATTGCTTTTAATAATTCATATTCTATAAATATTTCAGTTGAAATTATTTTGTACTAAAAATAACTTAATTTACTTAACAGATACTGAAAATAGCTTATATTTATTCTTTCCTGAAACTAATCCATTACCAATGATACATGATTTATCAGATAATGTCGATTTAAATTTGTTAATACCTTATTATTGAGATGTAAACTTCCTTTCCTGTGCAAATTTGTACTGGAAATTCATCACCTAATTTAAACTTATAACATATCTTCAAATAATTCACTATAAATAATTTAACTGAAGTTTGTTGAAATAATGACTCAAGATATCATCTAATGGCTCAAGGTTAAGAGTATTTAAAATTTTATATTTTGATTTCAGATAATGAAATTATGTAATTTTTCAATTCTACTGGAGTGTGACATTCCTATCTTAAAAGTTTTGTTTATTTGAGTATATCTCAAGATTTTATTACTTAACCTTGTTACAGAATTATTTCAACACTATTTTATCTAGCTTTATAATCTAATTTAGAAATATAATCTTTTAAATATACAAACTTATGCCTTCTTTAAATATTTTGATTTATAACTACCTCAAGCAATAGTCAAGGTAACAATGAAAATTTTCCTGGTATTTAAAATACATCAATTGAAATCACAAGTTATAAACCATAAAATTAATTCAAAATCAAATAATCATTATTTATTGAGAATTCTAATTATAACAAGACTACTAATTATAATTAACCACCTACAGATTATAATACAATTTTTCCTGATGATCAAAATTTAACAGACTCTCTGATGCTCAAAATAATTGGTATCATCTAGCTTTAATTATACTCTATTTTTTATGAACTTTTTGTTATTTATTGTTTTCATAGCCATAAATATTGTTTCAAATCAAAAAAAGCTTAAAAAAATAGGTTTTATAATTTTGAACTAATTAAAAAATGAACAATAAATCAAAAATAATTATATTAAAAAAATACATAAATTATAATAAGCTTCTGGATCATAATTATCAAAAACTAAAATTTTTTCATTTGAATTATTTATGTTTACTTTTTTAAAAGGAAAAATTGACAAAGTTTTTTTAATATTTGAAATAAGATCAGATCATATTAGGTTATAATGGATATTGTTATTTTTAAATGGAAAAATAAATTTTCATTTCAAAATTAATAAAGGTCATTAATTAATTACATCATTGGATTTATTATTTCTTTTTTTATTTTAAAATTAAATTTTATATTTTGGATTGCAAATAGAAATATCCATTAGTCAAAACATATTTTAATAAGTAGTTCGAGAGTATATAATGTAATCAGAATAGTCATTTTAAACAAATTATGATAGGATAATTTGTTGAAAAATAATTGAAACACAATATTTATATATTTAATTTATTATATGATAATTTATTTTAGAACAAATGAAACAAGTTTCTTATTTATTTAATTTATTAAAGGATAATTTATTTTAGAACAAATGAAACAAAATAGTTATTTATTTAATTTATTATAATATTAATTTATTTTAGAATAATTGAAACAAAATATTTATAA